GAGTGTCCGAGATATCATCTCAATTAATCGAGATATATGATTAAATTATGTTCACGGACATTCTCTATTTATTCTAGATCTCCTAAGCGGATAAAACCAAACGCGTTCCAAAAGGGTTCTCAATAGGAATATGAGCTTGTTTATGGCCTGGACTCCATGAATATGTCTTGAATATGTGGATAACAAATGATGAAATGATGATTCCTATAATGAGACTAGGCGAGACATATGGCAAGGTACCAAACAATCCTGCGAGGAACGATTCCAGGGAAAAAGAGAAGGGAACTTTTGTGTACTGTGCGAAAAGCGAGAACCTTACCGACATCTAGGGGCCTGGCGAAGAACTTCAAGGTGTTCACTTCGATACGTGCGATGAGGGAGCATTTGGTGAGTAATAAGAGAGTAAATTCGAAACGCTCACGGTGTGCTAATTTTTTACTCCCCAAACGCTCGGAATTTTCTAAGAGTGTAGAGAAATTGGGAATGACTAATATGGCGAAGCCTAGACGAGTCAGCGGAGTTGGTTTCTCTCCACGCCCATGAATTGGTTTCGGTGTGCCATGATTTCGATATTATTCGTGAACAGTGAAAGGCTCTTGGACATCCTCTGTATTTGTTGAATCAGACATAAATGAAAAAGGGTGATCACAACTCAAAAGACAGAGTATGATTGGAATTTTTAAATGCTTGGAGGAAAGACGCACCAAAAAAACACCTTCACTATTTTTTCCTCGTTGAGCTACAGCTCAAGGAACTCCCATCACCAGGTCGCTTCTTCAAACGACGCAACGTTCTAAATACCCCGACAAAGATGAGGTATGCATATAGAATAACGTTAGTCAGAGGATTTCATCGGCTTCGAAAATCCAATTCTAAAAGCCCCACATTCATTTAGATCATTTCCTCAGAAGAAAAGGAGTCTCCTTAGAAATTCCTTTTTCTTCTTCCATGATCCATCTGTCCATCTAAGGGAGATGGGTCTGCCAACATCACTCATTAAATGTTTGGGATAACGGTTATGTGGCCTGACCATGTTGATTGGGCGTTGGCTCTCAGGAGACAGCCAACATTTTCCCTGGACCATATATTTTCTATATTAGTCCTATAGTTGTTCATGAGCAGTCAGAGTGTCTTTGGTTTTGGTTGTGGCTTGCTGTGATTGAATCGATCGAGATGTTCATGACCAGCTGGAAAAAATATTTTAAAATGTCATAAATTTCCAGGACTTTCTCACTAGATCTGCTGGATTCCTCTTGATCATAGTGAGGTTTCTCATGAGGCCTTGAGGCCTCCTCATGAAAAGCTCCTACGGTTATTTTCAGCAAGCTGCTCCAATGCGGCAATTCTTGGCTTCTTTGATATTCGGAATTGAAGAGATTAAGCGGAAGATAAGGTGACTTGGTGCTAGAAAGCTTACTTGTCTCGATGAATCGCTTGCGGGAACTGGCGGAGCCGGACACCGAGGTCCTCGAAGTCACTACTACGTCGTAACGCTACGAAATGCGCATTGCGCAATGAGAATTACTATGGGTACACATAATGAAACGTGGAGCAGAAGCGCCGCATGCTGCAGGGGAAAACTCTGTCCCGATCGTCGTATTGATTCTGGCCGCTTATTCCGCACACAGCGATGAACCTGGTCTGGGCGCCACATCTGCCTCCTGCGCCTTCGTTATTTTCGCTTCTCCCCTCTCATCGTCGTCCCAGCCTCTCGAAGAAAATTTAAACCGCTGGAACAGATCCTCCATCGACATCCTTCCTGGCCCGTGCTCCTCCGACGCCGGCGACCCAAACATCCCACGTTATCCACTCTTGTCCATCGACCGGATGCATTCCTGGCTTCACCGGTCTTATTCTTCGCAGCATACGATGGTGCCGAAAAGTGGGAAAATTCCCCCCTTTCCTTTGGAAATTGGCAGCGCTACCGCTTCGCGAAAAATTCTGGAGGACATACGAACAAATGCAGTATCTCGCTATTGACAAAAATTAAAGTTTATTTGCCACCACTTTTGAATCCCATACCGACGATCAAGATTATAATTCACCAGATGTTCTGCATGAAAATGCGTTTATTCTACCTGTAGTTTCCATTGGGAACAAATCAGTTCATGCCTAGATATTTCCAGATGTTCCCCCGTAAAAAAGTGACTAAATGGTGTCTCTTGGGTGCACCAAGTCTTCAGCGACACGACAAGTCATCAATTTTCTGACCGCGAATTGCACATTCAAGGTCATTTATTATTAATGTTTCTTGATAAAGTAACAGTTTCCCGGAAGGGATAATGAAAAAGTAACATTTTTTTGCTAATCTTGCCTTAATCTAAGCCTCATATGCCTTGTACGCTCGTCCACAAAACTTGATTACGGACCTTCGATGCGCAGAACCTAAGCCCTCATAATTTATGCACTATCCAACCTACTGCGTCGGGATTGGAGTGGCAAATAGGCGTCAATAAAGATGAATATGGCGAAAAGAGGTATGAAAGTAGACCATGTAGATCGTCGATAAAGCGAACAAGGACACGCATAGGCCATTACCTTCGGCATAATTTTACGGGAAGTTGACCTAGGCTTCGAGGACGACGGGCTAACGAAGTCAAAAATAACGTCGAGCCCAGAAAGCACCTTGTTTGCTAAGCGACCTGCTCGGGCTTTTACTTTTGGGTCCTTCAGTGTCACGACCTTGCATCTGCATCCGAACGGAGGCGGTTTTTGATGGATTGAAAATGGAAATTTAAATTGAAAAAGGGAAATGGCAAGTTAAATTGGAATGGTGTCCGACGGGTCGATCCGACGCGATGGAAGTCAAGGAAGAAGATGGCTCCGACTCTTCCCTTGCCTTGTTCCATGAATGCTGAAAGGGGTGTATCAGTCGATAGGTAGCTGAGGAGCGTGGCATGTAGTCACGTTGTGGGCCATTGGTGAAGAAAATGATGCCGGGAGAAAGGAAAGGGGCGGGGGGGGGGGGGAGAAAAATACACACCGTTGCCAAAATAATGGGCATGACCCCGTGATCGCCATCAAAAGATAAAGCGACTCCTCCCCAAGAACTAATCATTTTTGCTGACTCAACGTCGTCCTGGGCAGTTATAAAAAGAGAGTATATTAGGCCTTCTGGAGAGTAAACCATATAATCAGTTCCTTACTTGTGCACCAAGGAACACGAGTTATAATCAGCACCTCCTACGTCGCCGTGGCACGATGATGTTCCTCTTGCCCCTCGCTTTTCTGTCATTTTTCGTGCAGGCTCAAATCTCGAGCTTCAATTATCAGCTGTACAAGAATGGCATGAAGTTGGTCGGCCCTCTCGCAGGCCTTCAACTAGCGTCGACCATTCAATGAGACATGTAAGTGGGCCTCTCCTCTCGAATGACTCAGGTCCAGGACCGCCTTGCACGAATCCGCAATGCAGAAAATCCGGAAACATAGTGTGTCAGTGGGTAATCTGTGTGATCGCATGTAAAAGACAAGCACTACATTTGACAACTATCTCTAATTTACGTATGAATTGATGACCTCAGGTAAATTTTAAATATAAATAGTATTTATTTCATAGGATCAGCGCTTAAGACCTCATAATAGACTTCTACCCGGATACACGTCTTCGAAAGACCTGTAGTTGTCATTTTTCATATAATTTCCATGAATATAGATGTCAAGAGCCGGAATGGCCTCATCTTTTTTAGCCATGGGAGCTCTTTTTATGTCAAACAGCTGGTTCGGTGTGTCCGAACACGGTTGGCCATTTATATATGATCCCTCAGCGGGACTTATCTGTTCCCTTATTTCAAGACATTGGCCTCTCGACTTGAACCTGTATCCTTCCTTATTTGTGGTGATCTGAAACAAAAACTCATCGTCTTTTGGATCGAAAAGACCTCCGATAACTCCGGGATCGTCAGGCTTTTTGTATAACGATGCGGTAGGAAACTTGATTTGATAGACAGACCCGCCAGAAGCCCCACCAGCGGGAATTATTTTAATTACTTTTGAATCGGTGCTCTTAAATATTTTTTCAGTTATCTCCTTCAGTCTAAACTTACCTCATTGTAGATTAAACATCGACTTGGGGTCATCGATCTTCGTTATGATCACGAACTCATCAACCGAAGTTCGCCCCCGCTCCAATGAGCATTACACACATCATGGCACTTATCATAAATATATGTACTATACATGCTTCTATATGTATTTGCATTGATAATTGTAACCTATAAATTGGGTTATTGTGTTTTAGCTTCCTAATTATATTTCCTGAAACCCCTTGTTTAGGGTTTTTTCTATTAATTATATTCCAGAACGAGCATTGATCAGCAAAAATACTGAATGAATTGGCTGCTGGGTGTATAACAGAGTAAAATCACCAACTGAATATCATTGTGCCGACATACTAATAGACTCTTGGGGATCTTATAAGTGGGTATTTTGAGCTGAAATTTAGTCGGATACATTACTCAAACAATTTTGCAGGATGCTGGGTTTAAAGAATAAATCTGCACTCCGTATTGACTCAGGTATGTAGATACATGCTACGCGATAATACATTTAGATATACAGGAAAGGTGCCCGTGTAAGAAAATCACTGCCATCTTGGTGCGGTCCCATGCCAACCACCCAAATTTGAAGCAAATCATTGCATTCCTCAGGGATCAAAAGACAACGTTCTTGGTGAGTCAGAACATGCCTGCTTCAATTTTTAGGTTTCTAGATGTACTACTGATTCTGATCATCGTTTTTATGGCTTATGGATGCATTCGGTGTTGTTTACGCTAATATTTCTGGATAAATCCTTATCAGCAAAGAAATAACAATATTAGGGGTTGTGGAATGAAATTTTTTTTAGGGTAATGTTATTCATTGCACCAGATATAATCTATCCCTTCGCTATGAGTACAAAACCGACTGAAGATGAGTACAGGTACGTTAGCCTAAAGGTAATTGGCGATGAATTGCCCGGGACAGCACTGGTCCAGAAAATTGGACCGATGGGAATACCACCTAAGGTTGTTGGAGAAGATATCCATAAGGCTACGTCCGATTACAAAAGCTTGAAGGTCCACGTTCGTTTGGCTGTAAAGGATCGTAAGGCAACGGTTGAGGTGGTTCCAAGCACCTCCACTCTGATTCTGAAGGCGCTTAGGGAGCCACAAAGGGACAGAATGAAGGTCAAGAATGTGCTTCACCACGGCAGCATAACCATGACTGATGTAGTTGATATTGCTAGAAAGAAGGTCAATTTTTCTGGCGCTGCCAAGTTTGAAGGTGTCGTTAAGGAGGTTCATGGAACTTGTGTTTCTATCGGCTGTCGTATTGATGGGAAATCTCCAAAGGATGTTGTTAGAGAGATTAACGAGGGTAAAATGAGACTTCCATCCCAATAAATTTTTATTTTACTTTTTCCTTTGCGGATGGCCATATTCGTGTTGTGTAGCATTTTTTAGCTGAAATGCGGAGATACTAAGTTTCTTTCTAATTGTTGTTCTAAGGCACTTGGGTTATTAATGAATATGATGTCTCTTCTTTTGAGCTTTATACATTTTAAGCATGCGCTACTCAACCGAAAGCTATACAATAATGCAATGAAGGCATGCATGAACTAGAATGGCCGATTCTAGCTTGGCTGGAGATTTTATGGTGCTTCTTGCCGAGATTATTATACGATGACAAGTTTATTGCACATTTGGTAAATGCGTTATCCCATAACAAATGTCCTGGTTCATACTAGACTCACACGAGACAAACAATTTGGAGAAGACGCTTTTTAGCGGCCAGATCTTTTCATTTTAAAAGACAGGACTAAAGGAATACAGCGGTGTCATTGACGGCTCCGTAATCGTTTTTAAACAATATGGTGGCATGGTTTCCTGCGACTTTCATAAAAACATACAGGACCGTCTTTCAAGCTTCTTCAGTCTAGATATCAACTACCAGTCTTTGATAAATGAGTGGAACAAATCACAAGATTATATAAAATTCGAATATAACGGATTAAGATTACTAAGATATGAAGTAATGGAGACCATTTCCTCTTTTATTGGTTCAAGCAACAACAATATCAAAAGGATAACAGGAATGGTTGACTACTTGTTCACAAAAGGCGGTTTCATAGGCTGCGTTGGCGGTGTCAGTTTTTATAAGTTTCCCAAGCTTCAAAACCTGACTAATATCGAAGACGAGTTGAGAGAGATGAAGTTCGGATACAGGGCAAAGTACATCTGCTCGGCAGTAACTAAGTTACTGGAGTCTAGCTTAGACACGAAGATGAGCTATGATGAAGCCAGTTGCCTTTTGCTATCCCTGGACGGTGTGGGCCAGAAGGTAGCTGATTGTGTATGTTTAATGTCTCTGAATCACTTAGAAGTTGTACCTGTAGACACACATGTGTTCAAAGCGTCAAAAGGGATGTTTGGTATGTCTGGCAAGCTGGATAAGAAGACCTACTCTTACGTCAGAAATAAGTATTTGGAGATTTTTGGTAAATGTGCTGGAATAGCGCAACGATATATTTTTAAAGAATCTCTCGACAAACAGCCAAATAATAAAGAAGCAGCAAATATACCAGAATAGCTCAAATTGTTTATCGCATTGATATCCTACAAAATAATCCTCTGTCTCATGATTTTTCTGCAAATATCTCTGTACCGCCTGTTTTCTTGGCAGCTGCCAACTGAGCGTAGCTTTGCCATGCATTTTCAACAAAACCCTTTAATTTATCTTAATGTCTGGAGCTGTAGAAAATGTACCAGCTCGCATAGCACAACTAAGAAGGCTTACTTACAATCATCCTCCCTCATGATCTTCTGAAATATCCCAATTTTCTCAATGAACAGTTTCACAACAGGACCTTCCCCTACATCGACTATTTCAACCAAGCTTTCAAGAATCGAGTCGTCAAACTGAAGACTGCTTGACAGCTTTTCAATAAAATCTCTGTAGATGCTGTTTTGTTTGCCGAGTTTGTCAGCCTCACACTGCAGCAGATGCGCACTTTTAGATTTAGAGCTACCCAAATGCTTTTTAATTTCATTTTCTTTCTTTTTTAACCTACTTTTCTTACTCTTTTCAGCTTTTAGGTTATTTTTCTTCAAGATGGCCACTTCTTCCTGCTGTTTTCTCAAGTTCTCGCAAAGTTTTTCTACTTCTTCTGACTTGGAATCTATTTCTATCTGCTGGTCGAATGATCTTCGAATGAGCGATTTGTGTTTGTCTTCCAGTGCTTTGAATTTTTCGTTGAGCGAACGTATTTCAAGAATAAGCGTGCTTATTCTGACCATGTCGTCTTCCATTTTAGGATTAGCAGATGATCTCCAGGTAAGTATCTCTTTTTAATGACTATGTTTAGCTGGTGACAATCCGAGAGATGGTGTACCATTTAGGATTTGTACAGAAATGAACACCTTGTAATAATTGAAAAATTCCGTTTTTGCTTAAAATTGAACTGCGGCATGGCTTTACTTTCGAGGATTCAATAGATCAAAACAGAACAGTGTGTTCAACAAGCTCACAATGGCCTTACTTTACTATTTGATGTCAAGTACTTTACACTGAACGCATCCTCGCTGTTAGTGTTGCTAAATAAGATGCTATTTGTACCCGCCAAAAAAAACACCCCTAGCGATGGATCTTCTTAAAAAGAAAATGTTAAAGGTTTTCAGCCTCACTTTAGACCTGGACATTGATGACATTAAAAACGAGGACAAATTATTTATACATGACCGCTTAACGAAATTAAGTATTTTTAAAATCTTAACAACTCATGAGCCAATATATTCCTTTAGCTCAATTGAAGCGTTTGTCATGGAGTCTTCCGATTTTTTATTGTCTAATTAAACTGAAATTACAGTTAAAAGGAATATACACACACAATGATCTAGAAGCAAACAACGGATACGTATTGAGCATCCCATCAGTAGACAATAAAACCCGGCTAAGAGAACTTATTGTTGATAGAGCAAGCAAAATCTACAAATTAGAACTAGAAGAAATAAGAAAAAACATAGAGTTGGTTTTACAAAAGGAAAACTCTTTTTTTAGGATGAATAAACTTATAAACAGGTTGAAGAGTCAGGACTATGTAGCAGAGAAGGAGAAATGGTATACATAATTCATCTTAAAGGATTTTATCAACGCCAAAGACTTCTATAAGAACTGCAAGGATGAGCGGCTTTCGATTTATTTTAGTAAAATGAGCTTGTATCGGACGAAGAGCTCCAGCTGGAGTGGCTAATGCAGTCAAAAATTGTTAACACAAAAGGGCAAATGCGCGTTCTGTATTTTTTAATTGAATACTGTAAAGTTAAGAATGATATGGTTTCTGGATGTTTGATTTAATCGCATTTGCAGATAAGCAATGAGTAATTTACGCTGTTCAAGTCTTTTTTACCATTGAGCTAGTAAAGATTTATAAAAGAATTTAAAGTTATTTTCACCTGACTACTGCTCTGTAATAAACTTGTATTGCAAATGTTCAAATTGCTGATCCCATCAAAGCAGGTATATCGCTTAGGAGTTACTGCTGCATTTATTTTAAAATAAAAGTTTACCCCATAGATGTCCTTCAAAACGCAAAACTACTCTCTTCCATCCAACGTTCTCAAATTTCAATCCCTCTTACGTAGAGAATACCGTATAGATTTCTTCCAGATAACAGACGATGGAACTTATTTGGCCACTTCCAATAAAATCTTCTTCAATAACTCAAAAATAGCAAAATTTAAAGGAAAAAAAACTTTTCTAAAGTCGCCAAAAAATATATTGGTCGTTGCTGACGAAAAGGGATTCATAAAAATAATAAAGGAAAAGGTTATCAGACGATATGAAGTTGGATGTTCCGTAGTGGATATCCAATTCATCTGTGATTTAAGGATATCTGTCTGCGAAGGTGATGATACGCTGAGAATTTATGAATTTCAGGAGGAGACCCCTATCTATACAGCAAAATTTGACGAGAAGCTGGTTTGTAGTGCTCTAAAAGATAATTTTTTTGTAGTCTCTGTTGGGAGTAAAGTAGTTTTTCTGGATCCATTGAACTTTAAGGAGATTAAAGTTCTACAAGTGCCAGGTAGAATAGTTTTTCTTGATAACAGAGGGTTGTTAATGTGTGACACAAACAAAATGAAAATGTTTGACCTGAAAACAAAGCTTCACAGAAAAAAGGGTTCACAGGAAGTTGATAAGAAACATAGAGGTTAGGGATGAATTGATATATTCTCTTGGGTACGATGGATACCTAAAGATTTTAGATTACAAATTGAATATCCTAAAAAAGAAGTACATAAGCGATGCAGTGTCTTTTTGCCTGAAAGAAGAAAATTATGTTGCAAAAAGCTCGGGTGAGGTACTCGTTGAAGCAGAAAAACTTGGAGAGGCCACAAAATGATTTTAAAAAAGTACGAATACTAGGGATCGTTTATAGAGGCTATAAAAACAGAAGACATAAACTGAATTTATGGTGTTTCCAAATATTTATGTGATGTTAAGGGTTTTAGGCAAGCGCTATATGACCATGCACCGAGAGACTTACTTTTGATACTTGAATTTATCGCAGGAAATTGGTTTATCTTAGGGTTCAGAGAAATATTCACTGAAGTTCTTAGGGTGATTCTAATCAATTACGAATAATTCTATTTTGAGCTTGGGCCCTATTTAGAAAGGATTGAGAAAAATATTGAAAATAAGATGTTGTTCCAGTGTTGTATCCTTCCATCTTTTATTGAATCATTTTTATAAGAAATAAGTTTATTATAAATTTTTTCGGCTTCGGTTTTGTTTTGATGATCAATTCGCACTTCACCAAGAATATTACATATTGAACCAGTGGAAGGCTACTTAAATTATGAACACTAGAGGAATTATATATAGTTTCCCGTTCATCTTCGCGCAAAAATGGAATAAATAGACGTCGGTTGTATTCTGCGGAGTATCCTTGCCATCTGCATGTACATCCCGTGCAAGGGCATGGAGATAGTTGAGGCAAATGCTTCGCTGCAGGGCTTTTTCGCGAGGAAGAATCAGAGTGGGAGCCACACACATGCAATTATCAAGGGCAACTGGAGTATGGATGGCAGCAGTTTAGGCCTCCTCATCTCCAGGGGAACTGCTGAATTTGGTGAATCCCAAATAGGAGTGCCTATTGGCGGCGTTTCGGACATCAACTTTATATTGGTAACGAAATTTGCAGTATTTTATATAAATCACCTGAAATCAAGGCCAAATGGGTATTATCACCTTATTCGGATGGTAGCTACAGTTCGGAGTTCATGCAATGAAGCCCTGACAACGCCAGAGAAGCCAGGTTTTCAACTCCCTGTAGAGGGAGCAAGGATTTTTCCTCCAAAATAAAGAATAGACCAGTTCATACACATTTTATTAGTCCTAATACTGAAAATCACAAATATTGCTTTTGTACCCAGACCTTAATAGACTAGTGCTACAAACTTTAGACTTAGAAGACTTATATTCTGTTATCATGACTGTTTATTCAACTCTCAAGTGTTTGACCTTTTATTCCTTCTGATCCAATCTAACCTCAAGTTGTCCTTTGAGCCACAGAAGTTGCCATAATAAGATTAACTTCTAAGAGAATCTCCATCAAATCCACCTCTAATTTGGCCGATTTCCAAATTATTGAAAATAATACTGAAGTCCTTACTTGGCAAATATTAAATAAAAATTCACATAGTCCAAATATTTCGCATCCGTTATTTTCATGAGATTCATGAGACACACTTTTCCATCTCTCCATTCTTTATCCGATATCCCTAAATCTTTAAATTCTTTCTTTTTATTAAGTATTACCTCCACTGTATTAATCCCAATTTCAACCAACTTGTCTTTAAAATCTTCATAAATATTTAATTTCCCTCCTTTGAGCGGACTATTCTCTGGTAGACACGCTGGATCTCTCCTAACCATCCTTTCTTGCACAGGCACTCTCTTGTAATTGGGAATGAATTTTCCAGGATTCCCCTATTGTGAAGTAGATGGATCTACTCTGGACTTAGTTTGCTCTTGAGGTTGATTTGGTAGCAAATTACACCGGCTATTTTGATTATATACCACAAAGATCACAAGTCCACACAAAGCCAAAAATTGAAGCATCTTTTAGCAGTTTGCAACATTCAAAAAAAGAGCTACTGTCTCTAAATAAAAATACTGAATACGCCAAATCATAGGTTTTTTTATTCAAACATAAATTATTAGATGCTGCCACGCATATGGATAGATCGGACTTGAAAAATATTAATAATACTTTGTAATCAAACTCAATGCACAGTTTTCCTCTCATACTTTGTTCTTTTAGATCCTTCAGCTCATCCCTGTTGCGCGTATCCACATCCACATTGGAGCCAGAAACGAATAGCTCTCTTATCGAATTTCGTAACTTCTTGCTTTCGACCAGTTCTCTTAAGATACCTCCTTCTCTCAATCTATAGCATTGTAGTTTCAGCACCCTTAAATTATAACATTTTTCCACAAATGCTATTGTGTTCTCATCCAGCAGGCCCGCAGATAATTATAAGTGCTTGATGGAGTAGTGCAGATTTTTCAGTTTTCCCAGTGCTTCCAAGTGTTGATGATGCAGTACAAATCCATACAAATGTAGTTCTTCTAGGCTTGTTAGGCCACTTAAATTACAAAAAGAATGGTCAACAAAAGAATATGACGTGATCTTCAGGCCTTTTAAAGACGCCAACGATCTTAAAGAGCCAAACAAGGCACATGAAAATTCCTTCTCACAAAGATCTGGAAGTTCCAGAGTCAAGTCGCTTAGATCCCTAGCTTCGGAAAAAGTATTTTCATCTACTTTGCTAAAGTGATTTAAGCGGATTTCAAGCTTCCTCATTTTCTTAACAGCCTCGGAACCCAGCACAGACATGGCATCGAAAGGTTCAACTCCGTTATAGTCATAAATATCCAGCTTTTCTAGACATTTGAGTTCCCTTAAAGAAGCCAAGTCGCTTTCTGTCAG